AAAACCTGTTCAAAACCTCATTAAAACCTGCTTAAAACCTGCTTAAAACCTGCTCAAAACCTGATTAAAACCTGATTAAACCTGTTCAAAACCTGTTCAAAACCTGATTAAAACCTCATTAAAACCTGTTCAAAACCTGCTCAAAACCTGCTCAAAACCTGCTCAAAACCTGATTAAAACCTGATTAAAACCTGCTCGAAACCCTTTTCAAAACCTGCTCAAAACCTGTTCAAAATCTGATTAAAACCTGATTAAACCTGTTCAAAACCTGATTAAAACCTGCTCAAAACACTTTTCAAAACCTGCTCAAAAACCTGTTGAAAACCTGATTAAATCTTTTCAAAACCTGCTCAAAACCTGATCAAAACCTGATTAAAACCTGATCAAAACCTGCTCAAAACCTGCTCAAAACCTGATTAAACCTGCCCAAAACCTGATTAAAACCTGATCAAAACCTGATCAAAACCTGCTCAAAACCTGATTAAAACCTGATCAAAACCTGATTAAAACCTGATTAAACCTGCTCAAAACCTGCTCAAAACCTGATTAAATCTCTTCCAAACATGATTAAAACCTGATTAAATATTTTCAAAACCTGCTCAAAACCTGCTCAAAACCCTTTTCAAAACCTGATTAAAACCTGTTCAAAACCTGATTAAAACCTGATTAAAACCTGTTCAAAACCTGATTAAAACCTGCTCAAAACCTGCTCAAAACCTTAATAAAACCTGCTCAAAACCTGATTAAAACCTCATTAAAACCTGCTCAAAACCTGTTTCAAACGTGATTAAAACCTGTTCAAAACCTGATTCAAACCTGATCAAATCCTGATTAAAACCTGGTTAAACCTGCTCAAAACCTTTTTCAAAACCTGATTAAAACCTGTTTCAAACCTGATTAAAACCTGCTCAAAACCTGCTCAAAACCTGATTAAAACCTATTAAACCTGCTCAAAACCCTTTTCAAAACCTGCTCAAAACCTGCTCAAAAACCTGTTAAAAACCTGATTAAATCTTTTCAAAACCTCCTCAAAACCTGATCAAAACCTGATTAAATCTCTTCCAAACCTGATTAAAACCTGATTAAAAACCTTTTCAAAACCTGCTCAAAATCTGATCAAAACCTCATTAAAACCTGTTCAAAACCTGTTTCAAACCTGATTAAAACCTGATTAAAACCTGCTTAAAACCTGCTCAAAACCTGTTCAAAATCTGATTAAAACCTGATTAAAACCTGCTCAAAACCTGTTTCAAACCTGATTAAAACCTGATCAAATCCTGATTAAAACCTGATCAAACCCTGATTAAAACCTGATTAAAACCTGCTCAAAACCTGATTAAATCTCTTCCAAACCTGATTAAAACCTGATTAAAACCTGATTCCAACCCGATTCCTTTTGCAGACGAAGCCGACGACGACGATGACCCCGAGTACAATTTCCTGGAGGACCTGGACGAGCCGGACACGGAGGATTTCCGGAACGACCGCGCTGTCAGGATCACCAGTGAGTTCCCTGCACTTCCCCCTCCTTGGGAATCGTTCTGTGGCCAGGATTCGTTTTGTTTTGCAGGATATTAAATTAAGATTTATTTCATTCAAGAGCTTTTGGCTCTCTGGGAGTGCATGGGGGGATCTGGGCTGAGCTGTTGTGCTCTGAAAAACAAAATTTATGTGACAATAAAATCTGAAATTAGGTGATAATGCATTCTGAAAGCTGCAGGCAGTTCAGATTTGAATGTTTGAATTTAATTAGATTTTTAGTTTTATAAACATATCATTTTCTGGATTTGCAAAAAGCCACTCTTGCTTTAGGTCTTACTGCAGATTTGCATAACCTGAAATTTAGTCGTGAGTTATAAATATGCAGTTGTATAAATGTAAAATATATTTAGATGAGATAAAATGTATAATATATAAAAATATATAAAATATATGAAATATATAAAATGTATTAAAATATATGAAAATATATAAAAATATAGAACATCTAATATATAATATATAATACATTATATATTATATATAATAAATTATACATTTTACTTTGTATATTATGCATTATATATTATGCATTATGCATTATATATTATGCATTGTATATTATATATTATATATTATATATCATACATTATATTATATGTTATATATTGTATATTATGCATTATATATTGTATATTATATATTGCACATTATATATTATATATTATATATTATATATTATATATTATATATATAAAATATTATTAATATAAAAACGAGTTTTTATGTGATATTTTAGAATCCAGACAATCTCAGCTCAAGATTTTATTTTGAGCCTAGCATTAAAAAATGAATTATCAGGGGCCTTTCTTTTTTTGGTCCTCTGTTTGTAGGAGGAGGATTTCCCTTTGTGAGAGCAATTCCTTCCATTGAGCTGATGTTATGTCAGGATTTATTGAGTGTTTGTTGGAAAAGACATTTTGATAATCCCTTTTAATTTTCCTTGCAGAAAAGGAGGTGAACGAGCTGATGGAGGAGCTGTTTGAGACAGTAAGTGACAATCAAGTGGCACAAGGGAAGGTTTGCCAGGATTTCCTGGGTTGGGGGTCTGTGAAGTGAAAATTTGTAGGGATTTTCTGAAATTGAAGATTTGTAGGGATTTGCTGAAGTGAAGATTTGTAGGGATTTCCTGAAGTGAAGTCCAAAGGGATTTCCTAAAGATTTGTAGGGATTTTCTGAAATGAAGATTTGTAGGGATTTCCTAAAGGGAAGGTCTGCAGGGATTTCCTAAATTGAAGATTTGCAGGGATTTCCTGAAGTGAATGTCTGTGAAATGAAAATCTGCAGGGATTTTCTGAAGGGAAGATTTGCCAGGATTTCCTGGATTGAAGGTCTGTGAAGATTTGTAGGAATTTCCTAAATTGAAGATTTGCAGGGATTTCCTAATTTGAAGATTTGCAGGGATTTCCTGAAGATTTGTAGGGATTTCCTGAAGTGAAGGTCTGTGAAGTGAAAATCTGCAGGGATTTTCTGAAATGAAGATCTGTAGGGATTTCCTAAAGGGAAGGTCTGCAGGGATTTCCTAAATTGAAGATTTGCAGGGATTTCCTGAAGGTCTGCAGGGATTTCCTGAAGGGAAGATTTGCCAGGATTTCCTGGATTGAAGGTCTGTGAAGTGAAGATTTGCAGGGATTTCCTAAATTGAAGATTTGTAGGGATTTCCTGAAGTGA